CGCTTACAATCTCGGCCAGGTCTATTATTTCCGAGGTAAACTGGCCGAGGCGGGAAGGATGTTTGAACGAGCGCTGGTTGGGTACGAGAAAGAACGCGGAGCGGATGATCTAGAGGCCCTCGCTGTCGCACGCGATCTCGGCCAGGTGTACCACGACCAGGGTAAACTGGCCGAAGCGGAGGAGCTGTACGACCGAGCGCGGGCTGTGTACGAGAAAGATCCGGAAGTGGAGCACGAATCGACCGTTACGATTTTCATTCTCCTTGCTAGCTTATGTCGCTTGCAGCGAGAGTTCATCAAGGCAGAGGAGATATGTCAACGAGCAAAGGCCATCATCAAGGAGAACCCAGAGATCGACGCCCAAGTCGCGCAATTCCTCATAGTAGAAACTGGGACCTTATGTTGTCTACAGGGCCGTTTCTCTCAAGCTAAAACGCTGTATGAAGATGCTTTGGCCTTTTTTGAACAGGAGAAACGGCTGGATCGCTTCTACTTTCCCTGGGTCAAGAATAACTTGGCAAATGTGTATTATGAGCGGGGTGACCTAGGTCAAGCCGAGGAACTCTACAAGGATATCTTGAACAGCGTTGGTCAAAGTTCCGTGGAGATACACTACTATGTTTGGGGCGTGATGAATAACCGCGCGTTGTTGTATGCCCGTCAAGGTCGGTTTGAAGACGCTCGAAACATGCTCAAGGAAGCCCTGGCCGGGGGGGTAGCTTCCCTTGGGCCCGGACATCCACTCACGGAAAAGGTGCAGGATCACCTACGATGGATAGAAGAAGGGACAGAGAGCTCTACTGGCACGGGGGCTCCTTTGGGTGTTGAAAGTGGTGGACGAACTCCGAGCCTATGGTATTATTGAAGTCGATGTCCGGAGAGGAGACACTGGCCCAAGGGCGGCTCTCACAGCTCCCCTCGTTACGGTGTAAGAGCCTTTATGTAGGAGTCTCGCGGTGCGATGACCTAGTCTCATGATGACGGGCAAGGTGACAAGCACTCCACTAGATCTTCATCCCTACCCCGGCCCTTTAGGCGCGATAGTGGCACCATTTACTTTTGCTACTTCGAGGCTGCAACGACCTCGCTGGCGAGACTCACGCGCCTCTCTTCTTGAAATTGCCGTGCAAAGATTGGGAATCCCACAGGCGCTCCGTCGCAGGTTGACAAGTTCCGCCAGGAAACCATAGTATGCTCGGAAACCCTACCGGGTGACTGCCTTCCCAGTAACGTGGAGCCTGTTCCAGCTCCCGACCTTGCTCCTGTAAAGTATGTATGGACAATACCTGTTGACTATCGTGAATGTGACAGTCGCACCGTCATCATTAGTTCCAATTAGGCGCTCGAACAAGCATATGTTAAGTTAGTTCCCGTCATGATCCATCTCCAATCGCCTATTTGAAAAGATTTTCCGCTTGGAGGGCGCCTTCACCTAACCCACCCCCAAAATGATAACATCGACGCAAAACCAATCATTGGATTTCTCCTCCTCCTAGGATCGGACCTATGTCGGTAACTTGTTGTAAATTGGTCACACGGTCCTGATCTGTCCCTCTCTAGCCGCCGAGATCTGTGGGATTGGCCGCTCATGTCAACAATGATGTTAACATAAAGTTTGAATGAGAGCACAATAATCGTCCCCTCGCGTCATCAGAAATCAACTCTTATTCTAAAGCAGGGTCCCCGGCCTTAAACACACTCCTTCTCTATACCTCTAGACACCTGCGGCGAGGTGCAACTGACACGGGTGCTGGTGTCCCCATCTGATTGGGACGGCACCCCCTTCCCACACCGGCTCATGAGCGTCCTGGCTCGGACGGGGTGCACCCCGGAAAAGTCCCCGGGGTTCTCGATCCCACAACCCATAAAAGGGGCGGTCGTACACCTTCTACCATCGACGTCCCACGTCCAGGCCACGCAGCCGGACTGGCGCCCACAGACCTCCCGGCACTCCTCGGCGGTCTCGATCTCCGTCTTCGTCCGCGTCGATTCGTCCATCCTCCCCGATCGGCCGGAAGATTCCTGTGATACATACCACCTTGGACACGTCACAGTGATATTGCCACCTCTGTCCATGCTGGGCATCTGGGCTCCGTACACGGGCCCAACGAGAAGAACCATGAAATTATTTGATTTCTTTGCCAGTACCGTACCATACCATCTCAGGCTTCACGCGGAAAGCGTGACCTCCACGATTTTCACGTCCCATTCGTCCGTATTCCACACCTTGGCGATCTGGAGCCTTTGTCCACGTCGCCGAGCATCGTCTCGATGTCGCCCAGGGTTCTCTCCCCCGAACCGAACAATGTCATCATCGTCACGTCGATGGCCCGGATGTGCGCCCCGTCCGAGAGCAGGTAGTCGGCGATCAGCAGCCGGCTTCCCGTCCGCGTCAAGAGCGGCAGCACGTTCGTGAGGATCTGGACGCATTGGCGGTGCGACCAGTTATGAAGCACCCACTTCATGAACACGGTCACGGGGAGGGGCCCGGCCGGGGGTTGTGGGTCGAAGAAATCGTGAACCCGGAAGGTGACCCTCTCCGAGAGATCTTGGGGGACGATTTGGAGAAATTTGGCGTGATTTTCCTCGAGGTCTTGAACGAGGAAGTGGACGGCCGGGTTCCTCTTCGCGCCTTCGATCGCGGATTGACCGTCGCCTCCGCCGACGTCGATGACCAAAGTATTTTCCAGGGCCTCCCAGCGGAAGACATCATCCTCCACGCCACCCTCGCGGCAGAGCGTTTGGGCGTGCGACAGGGATCTCAGTCCAGCCTGGAAGGCTGCCACCTCGGACGGCGGTCGGGATCTGAGTTCGTCCCAAAAGCCGCGCTGAAATGCTAGATGTGCCGCCGATGGTCCACCGCCCGGTGATAGGCTCGACTCCAGCGCATCCGGGAGGGACAGGTCTGGTAAGACGGTGATCGGGGACAGCACCCACCGAATCCACGGGGCCAGGACGGGGATAGCCCTCGAAAGCTCGGTGTGCGATACCTCGCCCGATCCCGGCGTCTCTTCCTGGAAGATGCCTTGACTGAAGGCGAAACGAAGCACTCGCTCTAACATGAACGGGTCCACCGCCGCGATGGATGCCAACTGGCGCACGGATATCGCCCCGGTCTCCGGGACCGACGCGGCGAGGTCGAACTGTGTGACAACGCGCATGGCGGCGAGTCGCACCCGACTCGTGTTCGTCATGTCGATCAAAGCCCGAGTGGGACCTTGGACCTTGACGAGCAACTCATTCAATGCGACGATCAGTGCCTGGCGGATGGAGGGTGGGTCATTGGTGGTCTCGTTGAGGGTCCGCCCAGTCCCTTCGTGTTGCGGTTCGAGAGTGCAGTGGGCGAACACTTGGCTCAGGTGTGCGATTTGTCCCGCGAGGTCGGAGATCTCGCAGTCTCCGTGTGGTGTGGGCGTGGTGGGCATGGCGGCGGATGATCGAGAGAGAGACAGGGACTTCCAGAGCGGAGGAGGGGGGATTAATGTACAGTACCAAGCACCAGGTTCTTCACGAATTTTCGTGGTCCATGTTCCGTCGGTTGGGCTTGTGTTCAGGGGCGTCCTCACTGGCACTCTACAGGACCAATTACCGTGAGATCTGGTGAATTGCCGCTCAACTGGTCTGAGAGGGTCGCCTCCGTCACCGTGCCTGTGAATTTCGAAACGTGCTTACTGTACCTCTGCGGGCGCGTCACGACGTTTTTGTATCGGCTTTGTACCGAATGCAGAGCGGTCCACGACGACTGGCACACACCAATTTTTCGTCGAACGTCGTCCAGAGTGATGCTCGCCCGGTCAAGGCGCCTCGGATTGGTCGGAGTTCGCGGATCGCGGTGCATATTTGCAGCGAAACACCCAAGAGAAACCAATCAAAATCCACCCCAGATTATCCAATAACCGTGTTCGCGTACAACTTTACGTCTCCGTTGCACTTGCTCGAGTGATGGACCAATTGCAACATCACGAGGACGAAGGATGTCAACATGCACGGAGGTCACAGTGGAGTGGCGCGACAAGTCGTCCTGTTGCTAATGCCCGGACTGCCGTCTTTCGGTACATTGGAGCATCTCCGTGCGGAATGCCGTCCACTTGGTGCATTGGAAGAGAAAATGCTTGACGGTCTCCCTCGCTTGCCCACATGTACATAGATCTGACGGAGCGGCGTGGATCCGGTAGAGATAGCTGTTCAGTCTTGCCATGCCTGTTCTCAGTTGGGCCAGCACGCTCGCTTCCTTCCATGGTAAATTAGTCTATCGTAGAGCCGCCCGGTATGTCTGCCTGGTACGGTAACGCTGTGTCCACTCTTTTAGAATGCACTCCGACCTTTTCTGGTAGGCTTCTAGTGGGCCCTCGTTTGGCCTGTGCGGCGTTGAGCATTGTAGATCTCATCCCTGGTCTTTGTGTTGGTGGTCGGGCCTTCGACCCAGTGGCCTGTTGTGCCCTTTCTTTGGCGATCTTCTTCCACTTGTTGTCGTCATGTGTCGGAGTCCATATAACTGTCACCACATTGCCCTCCCTCCGTAAATGCCTTGTAGAGTTGGAGGGTATATCCGGCAAAGCTATGGGGATGTCTTCGAACAGACGTCGGCCTTTGCCATCATCGACCTCCATTCTCAGTCGTTCCCGACTACGTGTACCTTTAATGAGATTCCTACTATGACTCCCTCAAAAGACCGTCAGCAAACATGGTTCTTCGACCTGCACCTCGATATATACTATTCACTATCGTTTTGGTAGTTTGTGTTCTGGTTTCTTGCCATTCATTCGGGAGGCACTACTCTCCCGGTCCTCTGAGTACCCCTTCGTCCGTGGGGCGACCTGCTCATGTACATCCGGTCGAACTCGTACATGATCATGAGTACCGCGACACATGCACCTTCACTGATTCGGAAGAGGACTTCCTGATCGTTGTCAAGACCGGGGCCAATGAGATTCACGATAAACTTCCCACCCAACTTTTGACCGGGCTCCGCTGCTATCACGACATTCTTATCTTCTCCGATCTCGAAGAGAATATCGGCCCATTTAACGTCCACGACGCGCTGAAAAACGTTTCCAGCGCGATCCAAGCTCGGAGCCCCGAATTCGAGTATTATCGTCAATTGAGAGACTACCGGGAAAATAATCTGGACATTAGTAGCCTGAGGGGGAAGAGCCACTCGGCGGCTTGGAAGTTGGACAAGTTTAAGTTCATTCCGATGTTGGAAGAAACATGGAAGATGCGACCTCATCGAAAGTGGTACATCTTCATCGAGGCCGATACTTACCTGGTCCGCACGAACCTGTTGCTTTGGTTAGCGCGGCAGGATCCATCACAACTGATCTATTTCGGCTCTCCGACTTATTTTCATGGCGAAGAGTTTGCACATGGAGGCAGCGGCGTGGTCCTCTCTGGAGCCGCCCTGTCCAGATTTGTAGAGGGCGACGGTGGAAGCACCGCCCGATATGATGATTTGCTGCAGTCCGAGACATTCGGGGATTATATCCTCATGAAGGCTCTCCGGGTCAACGGTGTCACCCTCAGCAGCCGTTGGCCCATGCTCCAAGGAGAGAAGCCCTCGACGATACCCTTTGGACCCGGACCTGACAACGGCGTGAGGCACTGGTGTCAGCCGATCCTCACCATGCACCACATCACTCCAGAGGAAGCGTGTGCCTTTTGGGATTTTGAACAGAAACGAAATTCTCCCAGTGTTCGTCACCACCTCCCCGAGTCCACGTGGGCCGTGTAAGCTAAAAGGTGATTGACAGGAACCTCTTCTATTCCAGGAAATTTACCACAAATTGATTAGCACCAAGATCTACACGGACCGCGTTGACTGGGACAATCTCTCTGATGATGTTCTGTATCGACCGCCCGGGGTCTACGGCGATCGTCAGAAGCCTCACGAAGACATGTCAGCGCTCGAACGCCAGTCGCACTTTTCGTTCGAGCACTGCGCCCGAGCCTGTGAAGAACAGCCACGCTGCTTCCAGTATAGGTATTCAGCTCAAGAGTGTGCGTTCTCCTATTCCTACCGACTGGGTCAGAGGCGAGACCCGGTATCTGGGAATACGTATAGGTCTGGATGGAACTTGACTAGGATAACGCGAGATCAGAGTGAAAATCAGTGTCCTTCTCCTATATGGTTATAATAATTGGCTTGATGAGATCGACCTTGTCAGATCCTGGCGGCCAATGTCGTGCCGCTAACTGCCAGGAAAGGCACAGAAATGGATGTTTTATTTCTACCAGCGGTCTAGGAAAGAAGGGAGAGGGTGCTGCTTTGGGCGCTAGTAGCAGTACTCATCGCATCCTGTCGATCTATCAAGCAATTACGAGTGAAGCTGACGAGACAAGGACAAGCACCAGGCTTGTTGGCGCCAATGAATTAGCGCGTACTAACTCACGTTACACATGGATACTAAACTCTATGAGTGTCTCCAGTAACTCCTGTCATAAAATTGCCATTGTGTCAGCATTTGCAATGCTTGGAAATCAATGAGATTTGAAATCATGGAAAAGGGGCTCACGGAGATCAAATGCCTCATGAATTCGTATATACAGGTAACAAGAACAGAGTCCATAGGATTGAAAGAGACAGAGATCTCGGCGTAGTCAACTTCGCCAACACAGGCCTACCTCTGCGTTGTGGATCGGCTTCGAGAATTAGGTGTCGGTGAAGACCTGTCGTTGCCCTAGGCATGTGCTCTTGTATAGACTGCCGTTATCCCGAGGACTACTGTAAGTCACGTCAGCTTGTGGTGGTTGGCGATCAGTGATCTGTGCATCAACCGGCATGCGACGCAGATCGTGCTCCGCCGATCGGCCACTCACGAAGCTGCGGTTCGGGTCTCTGTAATCCCAGGGCCGAGTTGCATCAACGACGCCGATGTAAAGGGACGCTTGGCCAAGTTTGCACGCTGCATCAAGTTGGCTGCGTTTGGCCCCGGCGAATTGGCCAGCATTCTCGAAGAGGCGAGGATTGCCTGGCATTCCTTCGGATACCCTGTGCTAAGTTCGACAGGCGGCAGAGACAGGGACGGTTATACTGTAATGATAATACCATGTCATTTATTTCTCGTCTTTGATTGGTCAACGCGAATGTTCTGCTCTCACCACACAACAGCAAGGGCGGCGGACGTAGCAACGATCTTCCGATTGGCCGTTCTTTGGAAGACGAGGCAGTGCACCGAATGCGAAAGGCTGAGAGATTGGAACTTTGCTTGTGGGTTCAGAGTGCTTACAGTACGGAATCTGGTCCTCGGCCAGGGTCATATTGAACAAGATACTCGAATGCGGACAAGTGTTCTCGCGGGATGTTCAAGGGTCAATTTTGTCGCTGCAGGTATGCGTCAAGCGCCTGGTTGCATCTCCGATGCGGGTGGCGCTGACTTTTCCGGTGGCTTTCAAGTCGACTCTAAGATGGTTTTGACCTCCATGGCGTCTCTTATAACTTACCCGCCATATTTCAGCCGGGTACTACAGTCAACCTACCTTGAAGGCGATTCTCCAAGTGTTCAGCATCCTATTTTCGGCAGCTGAAGCGCGCCTGCTTTTTCCGGCACGAGTTGGTGTTTAGGGGATCGGAAATGATGGTGAGAGGGTAGTTATGAATTCGTCAGGTGGTGTTGTTGAGTCGTCCTGTTGCTATTGCAAATCGTATCGTTGCCCGGACTGCCTTCAGGTCTGGAGTCCAAAGCTTGTCATCTGTTGGCGTTTTTCCTCCTAGGTAGAAGGATATATTGCTTCTGTGTTTTTCCGTACACTGGAGCATCTCCGTTCGAAACGCTGTCCATTGTGTGCATCGGAAGAGAAAATGCTCGACGGTTTCCCTCGCTTGCCCGCATGCACACAGATCTGTCGGGGCGGCGTTGATCCGGTGAAGATAGGTATTCAGTCTTGCCATACCGGTCCTGAGTTGAGCGAGTATGTTCGCTTCTGTCCATGAGAGTCTGTCATATAGCTGTCTCGTATGCTTGCCTGGTAATGCCGTGTCAACTCTCTTTGAATGTACTCCGACCTTCTCTGGCAGGCTTCTAGTGGGGCCTCGTTTGGCCCGCGCGGCGTTGAGCATTGTCGATCTCATCCCTGGTCGTTGTGTTGGTGGTCGAGCCTTCGACCCGGTGGCCTTTTGTGCCCTTTCAAGTATTGATTTGTATTCTTAAGCTAAGCTAGATAATACATTGTGGAGGTGGACACGTGTCTACCTACATAGACCCTCTACCTTGCGTCGCCTTCGATCCTATTCCGCATCCTTCACGGGGCACAGCCAGCTAGCAAGTCAATACCAGTTTGCACCTTAAGCCTACTCCAATAGCCAACCTAAAAGACTCTATCCTCGATAGCCATCCTCAGGATTCCATTCTCTCAGTAGACCGACACGCGCGTCCGTCCTCTCGAGCCATATAGAAAGTGTCGTACCTGCGGTCCGCCCACCCAGTCTTCCGTCGCTTCCATTATATGCTGCGCCCCGTCGGATTGTCAAATCCGGTTCGCGCTACTTTGCAAGGTCTCCCTGACAAAGCCGACCGTGTCTCGCAGGAGATTGTCCACTTGTATCCTCTCTGTACCCGGAACAGCCTAGCAACACAGTGTTGTCCCTCCTACTAACCAAAGTGCCTCGTCGTCCTCTGCGCGGGTTCGAAACGCTAGGTCCTGTCGCTTCCTGTCGTTGTAGTCACATCCTTTCTCTTTCGTATAGCGTCTCGTCGCCTTTCGACAGAGCAGCCCGAGTGCACCCCAAGGGTGTCCTATCCCACGACCGATATGTCCGCCGATTGTAGGATCGATTTCGCAGTCGTGTGTCGGGTGGGTTTTAAAGTTTTCCCTTGTCGCTTGTGGTTGATGGGTTGACGCGTCCTCCCTGCAACCGTAGCCCCAACCCGCGGACAAGTGCTGGTTGGTATTGACTCTTCTCTGCTCTGCAAATGCCAGGCAAACATTTACAGGTTCCCAGCCGGCACCACGGGGAGGTGGAGTGCGAAAGTGGTGTCCTAAAACCCATAAAAAAATTCGGTTGAAAGGCGATCGCGTCTGCTCCACTGTAGGTTGCGCTTAGCTCAAAATGGCAATTTTAAGCTTCGCTGTTCGACCAATGAACTTGCCACGGAAACGGGTCCGCACCGATCTTTACTTTACATACATCATTTCCCCCGGTCATTTGAAGCTCATTATTTTGCCATGTGCCTTGAGTAGCCCTGCAGCTCGCCAAGCATTACCCCGCGGTGAAATTGAGCCCTTCTTCTATCGCGGCTCACACCCTTGCAGTCGCAAAATCTGCTACAGCACTTCCTGCAACAGTACTTCCTGCAAGCTGCAAGAATGGATAGTGTCACACAGCTCCTAGCAAGGACAACGCTTGAGGATACGACTTTCGGCAGGAGAAAGCTTCGTACCGAAAATGTCGTTGAAGCTGTCCCCAAACTGCGTAAGACATTTGATCATTTTCTCTTTTTCCGTGCCTCTGCAACGCTTCGTCAGGACATAATTCAGGATCAGAGCATTTGATGGTAAGCTTTGAACGAGGTCGAAGAGGCGACTTTGTGGCAATTGAGACAGTGGTTGACTTCCCACGGCGAGAATGTGAGACGCTGTCAACGTTTTCAGTTTTCTGCTGATCGTGATAGGAAAGTCGAGATCCTACTCCGTTCATATCCATTACCCCCGACCCCTTACGCGCTTTCAACAAAGCTGCACATGGTGAATACCAAGGCCGCGAGGACATCGAAATAGTCTTGATTGATGGATGGGATCTCAACAAGGCCAACGTTGTCCGTTGTAACGAACTACGCAAGGCCTTAGGCATAGAGCAGGACAACCTCTTCGATACTGAGTACCTTGTTTGGAAGTGCATTCCGTGCACCGCGATCATTAAGAGGCGGTCTTGGGATACAATACGTTCGACCCTCGGCTCACTTTTCCCTGCTCTCAGCGATCCAATATCTCTTCCACCTCCCCCAAAGAGACCCTTAGCAGATCTTCGCTACCTCCTTCGCTCTAAAGACCCCGACATCGAAACACTTGTCATATATCTGATTGACGACTTGAAACTACTGCCGCAAAACCTCACGACCAAACAATTTGCGATGATGATCCTCGGTTGGTCACGGTACAAGTCGGAGACGGGCTGGTACAGCACGCTCGAGGCGGAGCTTGAAAGCTGTATTCCAGACAAGATAGCGGAGCTCGATTATCGCTTGTACGCAAAAACATGTCGGTGGAACATCGATCACCAACAGCCCTTTGTCCAAAACTTTGATGGGAATCTCGAAGGTTTGAACTCAGAATTGCCAGGAATTTCAATATCTCAACCTACGAAGACTGGTCCACAGAGCGCAATGGAATGGAAGAACGGGCATGCGCGGAAATGCAGAGCGCCGAGCTTGAGAAGCAGCCTTTGTTGTCTATCCTGAAACGCAATGGCCTGGGGATCGAAATGGACTCGCAACTCTGTTGGGACTACCACCGTGACAAAATAGAGTGCAAAGCCACCAAGAGACTGTCCGCTCTGTCGGCCCTGGCATCGTCCACATGGGGCACCGGCCTAATCAACCTACGACAAGTATATCGAGCGATGATCATCCCCCAAATGCTGTACGGCTGCACGGCCTGGCACAGTCCGGGTCAGCGAGGTGGCAGTGCCATGCTCAATACGATTACTCGAATTCAACGAAGAGCAGCACAGATCATCACCGGAGCTTTCCGTACCACGGCCGGCGCAGTTGTCGACGTGGAAGCAAACCTACTGCC